TTACTCTAAGTGTGTGAGTAATTTTCCAGAAATTGTTGGTACTACACACATAGTGTTGGGTTTTTTATATCTATAAAACAGAGATACGTGGCTGAGGGAAGTATATGGATAAATACTGACATTGGAAATTTGCTGTTAGTTCATATGAGCACACCATCACCAGCATTACAATGTTTAGTTAATCCTGAACTCTTAGGAATTCTGGTCATTTTTTAACCATGATTCTCAAAGATGAGATTCAGTACCTGATGAAGGTGCATCATTTGAGTATTTCATCATTTGGAATAAGGAAAATACCTGCTACAGTTTTTAAGTGCTTTCAGATACTGTTTTTCTATTCAGATGCATTTCTGTGTGAGATGATTATGAAGAATGCTGTGGAAATATTGCTTTGCTTTCAACATGTTTGGTTTTAGGGGAAGAGTAGAGCATGCAAGCTGTAGTGTTACTGACTGTGCTGTTTATTGGAGGGAATGAAGAAACGTTTCTACAAGCAAAAGGCTACTTCTTGCTATCGCCTCTTCTTACCCCACACAGTGCTACCACATGAAAGTATGGGAACATGACAAAACTGAGCTAAAATGGAGCCAACCCAAATCTGTTCCTTTCTGATCCATTAATTTTTTTTTCCTCTTTATTTTCTGTTCTTTCCTTCTGCAACAAGTTTTCCTACTGCATGTTGGCTTTATATCTTTTTTTTTCCCCCCTTCTCCTTGAAGTTAATCTCATAAAACTTTCTTTCACCCAGTGGTTTTATTCCTGCTGTTTGAGTTTACATTATATATTTGGGCTGGATTTTCATAGGTATAGAGCAATATTTCACCAGCAAGAAGGTACTTACGGAGTTCATCTTTTTGGGGTTTTAATGTCCACGTGGTAAAATAGGAATGTGGATGTTTCCATATTTTATATTATGGTACTTCTAATAATTTACATGCAAATACTCTTTCTACCATTTATAGAGCTGTGGTACCATGGAAGACAGACTCTGTAGTGTTTTCACTATTGCATTGTCAAAATAAAGCTAGAATAGATGGGTTTTTTTTCAGAAATTCAGAGCCATAAAATCTTCTTTGCTTAAAATACCAATGGCAAAATATAACTGTCATGAATATAGTAATAAGTATGTATTTAAAGTAGTGTTAAAAATTACTAGTAATTAATGGTAGTTATTCCTCTTTACAGGAAATGTCATCCTACTATTCTATATACTGCCTAATTTTACATCACCCCAGAAAGAGCTTACATTGAAGTAAATATAATACTTGTCTCTGAATAGCTCATCAATTTGGATGGAGAATTCTTCACCTGAATTAAGTCAGGTGAAGAATTAATTTTCCCTTTAAGTAACTTAGGTTCCCTGATATATATGTGATGATATTTTTGGGTAAAGTGTAGGTTTTTTCCTCTACCTTGCAAATTGCTGAAAGATTGAAAACATCTTTTTGTTGGTTTAGTTGATGATCTGACAAATCTGATTATTTTACTCTTTGGTAAAGTACGAAAACTTCCATTTTTGTCCAGTTAATAACATTTCATTCATTTTTGCACCTCCTTACTTCAGAAATAAATTTTTTAATGCTGCAAATTTCTTTTTAATCCTTTATTGTAAAATGTGATCAAAACATTTCCAAAATTGAGATCTTGTAATGCATTTGCTGTATCCATACAGTTGAGTAGAGTGAAACTGTTGCAAACTGTTCTTCTACAGGAAAGTAAAACCATTTTGATCAGTTTTACTTAACTACTGTTGTTAAGCTACATGTAACTTCACTACAATATTTATAATTATTGATTAGAATATCATTGTCCTGTAAATACAGGGAAAAAAATGAGTCTGAATCTTAACTTACCCTAACTTTTCTTCTAAATTTCCCAGTCATTACTTTCAATTTTCTCAATTCTTTATTTATGAAAAGGAAATTATAGTGAATATCTCTACTGTGTCTCTGTGTACAGTGGTGTGGCTGAAGAGTATTGATAAAGCCAAAGTGAATTTCAAAGATCATACAGCTCTTTTTGCTGCTGCTGGTGCTAAAGAAGACCACTGAGCCAAACATTTATTCATTTGTTTATTTAATTAAAAACTTGGTTAGTTTTCCTGTTAAAATAAATTATCTGTGCTATAAACCTGCTCTGTTAATTTTTGAAAATTCGTTGGAGCTAAAAAAATTTTGCTCTTAAGGATTACAGTCACAAAAATCTTAGTGAATACTTTTGAAAACTCCATTCACTGTATGTTCAAAAGCACTGATTAGAAAAGATTTGGGGACATATTTTCTTACCTTTCTTCATCCTTATTACACTGCTGTCCTGTGGAGCACTGCCTTTGAGAAAAGTGGTTGTTGCTCATCACATTCCTAATCTTTCCATTGCAGTGTGAGCTGAAACATAAAGCAGCTTAAAGAAGTCAGTATCCAGTACAAGAAAAATGATTTATAGAGAATCTTGGAGTTGGACTTATGAGACAGTGCTCTCTGTTTTACAGAAAAGTGAACCATTTTGTTCATTTTCCCTGTTTAGGTTAAAGAAAAACCATGAAAAGCAGACATTTAGCAATAATAGTTAAGTAAGCTAATGAAATTAATAATCTGAAAAACTTGTTTAATTTATGTAGGTATTTCCACCTTTTTCTGAAAAAATAATTTTGCAATTTCAATATATAATTTTTTTTAGCCCTTTTAAAAAGAAAATCTGTTAGAGATGCGGGTCTTAATTATGCTTTTAAATCTATTGGCCAGAAAATGAGATTTTGCAACGGTAGTACATAATTTCCAAGCTCCTGTAAATTGATTTTTCAGCCTTGTAAGTATGGATTTGGGCCTGATATTTGCATTATCCACAAAGCATGTATTACTGTACCTCATTTGTTTAAGTGAAGGCTGTGTTTAAAAGGTATTGTTCTGCTGGAGACTAAATGGAATGCATTTTAATAATCTGGGAAATTAATAGGATGCTGATTTATTCTCCATCAGCTATGTTTGTGCATTCAACAGAGGACGCTAGATCATATGCCAATAGGAATCCCCAAAATACCAGATACCTGCTATTTTCAGTTTTAAGTCTTTCTGACAAAGGACTTGGAAAGCACAAGCCAGAGCACAAGTTTGGTGAGCTACAGAAAATACCTTTGATTTTGAGAATCATTTTTCATCAATAATTTAATCAAACTGTTTAGAAAATACCATGTCCACCTATATTCAGCTTCCTTTGATTCTAATATTTCTAATTAGAAAAAAAAACTGAACAAGGCCTAAAAAAACACAACCAGTAAACCTATACATCATCAGAGTTTTGATAAGATTATGCCAAGCAGCACAAAATTAAGATATGCCCCAAATGCAATTGGCTCTTGAAATATGGAGCACTACCTTGCATGCTCACTAAAATACGTATTTTTAAAGGAATACAATTTTTTATTCCCCCCATGGACTTTTGTGATTCCTAGAACAAGACTAGGAAAACAGGCAGCTTCTCAATAGGATTTTTTGTCCTTCTTCAGGACAAGGACAAAAAATTTGCTTTGTTGTTTATTGTTTTTTTCAGAAGACAGAACTGTTCATTTGCTTATACCACTCAAATATATGTGTTTATTAGACACTAATTATCATCTCTCACAAGCTCATCTGAGGAGTGCCATCATCATCATTTAGTACATCAATAGCTGCAGCACAGAAAAATTAAGATGAATGTAACCATTAGTAAATGTTACAATTTTTTGAGTCCCCCAAGGAAGAGATTCTGTGCATCTTCTTTACATCTACCTAGATCTACCGTGCATGGTACAAAATAATTATTCCTCTAAGGTATATTTTTGGAGTAAGTAGTATCTGGGCATGTAAATAGCCATTGCTATGACTGTATGCAAAGAACCAACTTAAATTTTCTCTTTTTCAATATTTTGATGACTATAGTTTGCAATGGTATTCCATATTCTTTGGGTTTTTTGTCCCACTATAGGTGGTTATTGTAGGGGTTTATATTTTTTATTCAGATGCCAACTGTGTAGATAATGCTACTGAATATTTTTTCACTGTAGCAAAAATATCTTTGTAATGACGACGCACAGCAAATTTTATTTTCATAGACTTTCTAGTAATGTGTCACCTCTCCTATGCTCTTTATGACTACTCCATTCATTGTCAAAAGAAATTTATTTCTATTGAAAATTAGCCATGAAGAGCTGTGAAATTTCCCCTGAAAAAGTTGAGATTAACATTTGCCATCACTGCATGAATGGATTGTAAGTGGACAATATCAGAAAAACCATATTCTGTTATATTAACTAATAGGGGTTTTTTTATTATTTTTCATCTTCATGCTATGAAATATTTTACCAGTAGGTACAGAACTACAAATCGAGACTAAAATATTAATTAATTGATTTTCAGACTCCCTTGAGTGCTCTTGTGTCCTTTCCTGACCTTCACAGTTTTATTAACCAAAAATGTGCAGTGCTGTGGGAGACAGCTACGGTTAGGAAAGAAACTAGACACTCACTTTTTAGCATCAAAAGTAAAGGAGGATTTTTTAAGTTCTAAGAAATTTTGGAAGCTGCAGTTGTAAGCAAGTTATTTCAATGTTCATATTTGCAGAAGGATGACTGGTCTGTATTATCTTACTGTTGGAGGGTGGGTAGCTTCTTCCCCAGACTAACCACTCTGGCTGGACACTTTTATTAACATGTTAATGACTGAGTAAAAGATTGGTGATGCAAAATAGATTACCCTCTTATCTAGTAGCAAGCATTCCATGATTTCAACATATCTGTGGTGGATAAAAAAGTCTCAGTGCTGCTGTTTTAGTACTCTTGTTCAACTTGGTAAATGAACTGTTCATTTGTTCACTATCCAAGAAACATTTAAAAACAAACTTCAGTGTATCCTAGACATTCAGAGGACTTCACTACCTAATGTTTTCCTTCAGAAAAAAATCTTTACAGCATGTGAGATAGATTTAATACAATAATTTCCTCTTTTTTTTTTTCTTCTTTCTCTTAGGCATTTCCTGGGAATACAAACTCTGACAATGTGGTCCGGCACGATTTACAACATCCCGTTATTGCTCGCTATGTGAGGATAGTTCCTTTGGACTGGAATGGAGAGGGACAAATTGGCTTAAGAATTGAAGTCTACGGCTGCTCCTATTGTAAGTTTTTCTATGATGACCCGTTTTTTTTCCCCCTAAATAAAAACTGGTTTCGAATCTCAGATTAAAGCTGAATCTCAAATAATTTTAGCTTAGACAGGTTAAAATGCGATTGCTGGTTGTATAACCCAGGACTTCATAAAATATTTGTTCGAACCTTAAGTCTGAGTTGCTAGTTTGTTCTCTGGAAGATGCAACCTTGGAATTCATGCTAGTACTTTGAAGTTGCTTCTTTTTATCTTCATGATTTCTTTAGCAGAAGGCTTTGACTATTGTAAAAGCTTGAATGGGGCAGTTAAGGAAAATATAGTATTGAAGCAAATGTCATGTTGGGTCCTGAGGGGAAAAATGGAAACAAGACACCATTTATTGCCTGGTGCTAGAGATAAAATTAAAGGTATAAATAAGAATTCTGTCACCGTATCTCAGATTGTCTAAAAATGTGATGTGTTTTTCAGAGGTATTTCCTTGAGTATTTGAACATGGTTTTAGAATTTTGTTTGAAATCTGGATAAGCAATGGTACAAATGCTTCTGAAGCTAAGAGTAGAACTGATAATGTTTTATGAAAAGCAAGGGTAGTTTTTAAAAGCCCTTCCTTCGGTTAAATCTAATCATTGCTTAAAGAAAATCCGCAAACCTGCAGAATATGGAGTGTATGATGTCCTATTTCTAAGTATCTATTTTTTATCCTGGCTTTACTGGTATTTTATCTGGAAAATGCTAGTTGAAATTTGTCTTTTAATAACCAGCTATTAGCATCAAGTGAGGAACACACATCTAGAGGTCTCATGCATTGACTTCCCTGGGTTACCTAAGACATATGGGAGCCCTTTGATATTCTAAAAAAAAAAAGAAAAATTGATTTAACTTGTTTTGATTTGATTAGATAGTCAAAAGACTATGTACTTTTGTTCAACAAGAACCATTTGGGATTTATTTTTCTTATTTCCATATAGTGAATTACAGCCCTGTTATAAAAGTGTATATTAAATCATAGAGTGTTTCAGAGCAGCTGCAGGAACTTAGGTGAGAAATTAAATCAAATTTTGTGATGTTGGTGCTGCTGTGCTGAGGGCGTGCATGGATGAATATATTTGTAAAACAACAAGAGGAGAACCTGTTGCAATAAGAAAAAGGGCAGTGGTTTTAAACTAATAGAGGGTCAGTTTAGATTAGGTAACAAGGACATTTTTTACAATGAGGGTGGTAAAACACTGGAACAAGTTGTCCAGAGAGATGGTGGATGCTCCTTCCCTGGAAACATTCAAGGTCAGGTTGGATGGAGCTCTAAGCAACCCAGTCTAGTTGAAGATGTCCCTACTCATTGCAGAGGGATTGGACTAGATGGCCTTTAAAGGTTCCTTCCAACCCATACTGTCCTATAAATCTACAGTTCTACAACACCTGAGGAATTGTGGGTTACTCTAAAGTTAACTCTTACTCAAAGAGAAACTGAGCTGCTGAAGTTTGAAGTACAACTGATTATTTACTACACAGCTCTTAATAAACAAGTGTTTACCATCATACTGCTGAAATGTTTTATGTGCTGTTTAAAGTATACCAAACACTATAGCATGGTTAATTTGCCAGCATAATAAATGCTTGTTTTTAAGTATATCTTAAATGCAAATTCAGGTGTTTGATACAAGAAACCAACATCTAGTTTTCTTTCAACTATAACTCTCTTTGACAGAAAAACAGTAGCAGAATCAAACAATAAACATCATGTTATTTGCTGCAATATTTACAGATAATTTTTTTTAAATGAAATGGATAGACATATACTGTAGGTACCTAACAAGATGCTTTTAGGGGCTAAAAGTAAATGTGAGAAAAAGTAAAACACAACTTGATGACAAAACTATTTTAGTTCTTTGATGAGAAGTTGTTTGCTTGATGAAGTGGAGAATAAAAGGCATCTGCCAAGGATACAATGTATGGAACTATAAAAGTACTGATAAAATGTGTCTTCAGATAAGAACTAAGGTTACTCAATGTAATTTTTTAATTTTTCTGAATGAGTATTGCTGGTTTGTTCATCTTAGAAGGTATTTCAATAATTGTTGGTGGGTTTTTTAATATAAGATTAATTATAATATATTACAGTTTTATGTGCATAGGGAATTTTCCTTTAACAACCCTCCTAAAATGCTCTGTGGTCCAAAAATGCAGAATTGGGCTGCTCCCAAAATGGTATCAGTAGAGAACAGCAGAGCAGTTCAGAAGAAAAACTAAAAAATCACTCTGTAAAAAGATAAATTATTTGGAGCCAGGTGTATAACGCCACACCTTTCCATGCAGATGTGTCCTTTGACAGAGGCCAAGTTTTTAACCTTATTATTAGAAGTGCATATATTTGCATATAAATATAAGCACTGTCATTAAACAGTGTGATTTGCAGATTAATTCTGCTGTCATTTAAGGAGCTGGCCATTTAGGTAATCACCAGCTTTAAAAGCCTGATTAAAAGACAGGCTTCTAGTCAAATTTTGGAACTACTACCTAAATAAAAATCTTTCCAATATATTGCAATTACACTTTTCCTTTAAATTAATAGATTCATAATTAATATATTCTCTTTTTAGATATTTTAGAGAGCACATTTTCAGATACAAAAATCAGATATTTTCTCACATTGCAAGCAAGATTTAATTGGGAAGCCATACACTTAGTGGCTATAAAAGCTCTTTTCTGGCATATTGCTGCAACCTGGTCATTAGCATCAGGCTATTAAGAAAAATGTATCCTCGTATTGAACTGCTTATTCAAAGGTCAGGTCATTAATTGCCATAATTTCTGGTTCCCATTTTGTTTGAATATACATGTAAGATACACATTTAATTTTTTGTGCAAAAGGCGAAATCCATGTTTTTTCTTGCCCAGCAAATTAAGTTAAAGAGATGTGTTTTCCAGAGAGACATTAGAGCTCACATCTGTTCCCTAGAGAATTTAATAACATTACCAAATATTTTTTTTAGTTTTGTTTTGCTTAAAGTTTAAAATCTGTGCTGTATTTGCAACTTCACCTATGTATTTTGTGTAGATGAGATCTGTGGGGTTGTCCTCTAACAGAAGAGTTCATAGAAGTTACCAAAAAAGAATTAAGGCCTCATTCTTCAAAATGGCACAGAATGAAATTTGTGTGTTTTTTTTGTGAATAAATAACGATATCGTATTTAGAAAATATTTTCATTCTCTGTAGGGCAAAACTGACTATGTCTTATTTCAAAAGATAATGAAATTGGGTAAATAATTTGCTTAATAACCCTATTAATGGAGGAGTTGCATGAACAAAGTAAGCTTGAAAAATCACAACAAATAGACCATAACATAAAAAACCCACTGTTTAGTCAATGGGACTTTTAGCCTTTATTTTAAAATTATCTATTTCATACTCCACAAAGGGGCCTTTACACTTTCAGTGACATCATAGATCAAAAAGCAAATCACAAGGAAGAAAGTGCAACCAAAGGCAAAATATCCACTAAAATCAGTTAAGTGAAAATTGATGGCAGCAGTTTCTTCATGCTCTTTTGGAGACAGAGAGCAATGACACATGACATGTATCTTCCACTATGTTCACAGTTCTGAATTTTTGAGACAGGCAGCAAACACATGGTGTCTGGAGGCTGTGACAAGTACAATACAGTGCATTTTACTACTGATTGGTGAAGATCATAATAAGCTCCTGCAGGATCACAGCCATAAGAATAGTTCCCTTAATCTCCATCCTGTGGAAGATAAACACCTACAAAAAAAGGCAGTAGGCACGTTATAGCATAGGCTTTGGCTATGCTTTTCAAGATAACTCTTTGAGGCCTTCTGGGTCCTGAAACCCCTTTGAGGGGAAAATACTCCCTGATACCTTTATTCACAGAAGGTTTTTTATATGGCTGTGCTGATTTTCTGGATCTAAATCATACATCTGCATCTTTTTTGATGCAGTTACCCATCTGACAGTAAGAATTTTCAAATTCCAGATGACTCACTTCTGAAATGTAGGAAATACTTGAAAAAAATCACTTGGAGATGGCAGAAAGCCATGCAAATATACAATATAGTCAAGGCAAATAAGTGGCAGGAGCAATTATAAAGCTTCATGAATAATGGCTGCAAACTGAGCTGTTTCCATTCACTGACCAGTTCTATTTGCTAATCCTTAGAAAGCAGTGGGACTGAACAAATGTCACCTGAGTTGCATTTGCAGAAATGTTCTTTTCAGGTGTTGGCTCTACTACTTATAGTGATCTATGTCAAATGTTACTGTTTCGATTTCCTGATGGGTGCCAGGTTTTGTTGGTTTGTTTTTTTGCTTGGTTTTGTTTTTTGAGGGGGGAGAGAAGAGGGAAAAATAGTAAAAACAGTCCTGTGGTTGTTCATCAAATAATGAATATTTGAATGGTGAGCATTTATTCTAAAGATAGTAAAGTGAACAAAACTTTGGTGGTATAAACATGTCACAAGAACAAAAATAAAGTTTGAAAATGCAGTTAAGGGGTGAGCCAAGTGAATGTTTGCAAGAGCTGATTAGGAAGTATTGAAGTGCTAAAACCTGTGGGCTGAAGGGATCTTTTGGATGTCGTAGTTAATCCCGTCTGCCTGCAATGATTTTGACTTAAAACATTGTTTCCTTTGGCAGTTAATTCCACAGTCAGCTATACTTACTGCTAGGAAACTTGCTTATTTGGGATCTCTTTTACTTGATTTCATGCTCTTGGCACTAGCTAACTATCCATGCACACTTAAAAGAGAACCTCATGCAGTCCTGAATAATATCTACTGCATCCAAATGTCCAAGTGACTATTCAATGCAGATGAGAAAGGCCCTATCACACTTCCCTTTTGTCGCACCTTACCAAGTTTCACTTGACCAGAATTCAGTCGTATGGATGTTTTATTTCACTCACATATAGCATAAAAAAAGTATGAGCTAAAGACCCGTAAAATGTCATGTTTGCTATGGAAACACCCTGGGGTAAATAAATTACAGCTCTATAT